TTGCATAGCTCATTTCATTTTCAAATACGGATGACTTACTGATACAAGATGATTCATCCATGCCCTTGGTACAAAAGTACAGAACACTTTGTGCTGCTTCCAGTATACTTTGTTTCACTTCTCATTTTAGAGTGTGTGGCAAGAGATCTGTTAAGAGAAACTCCAAGATTATTAAAGTATGATTGCCAAATGCAACTTTCCATCAAATGACTGAACAAAATGTGCAATTATAATTGAGGCAAACGGTTTGAGGTGCATACCTGTAATCTGATCTGAAAATACCTAACAAAGCCTTTTGTGACAAGGCAGTGTATTTAAGCATTTGTCTTATTTGCTGGCTTTGCGTGCACAGCTTCTTTTAGGGCTCATTGTGCAACCTGTGCTGTCGCAGTGACTGCTGCTTCTGCTGCTTTCTGTCTTTCTCTGTGCTTGGCACACATTTTTAGTTTGCCTTTTATAAATTGCTCTCAGGAGACTGAGAACTTCTGTTAACAAGGATCTTATCCTTCAAAGAAAATACTTATTATTGCTCCTTCTATTATATCAGTGAGATATATCTTGCATGTCTTTGATCTGCCGGGTTAACCCAATAATGCCATATGTAACATATTTGATAGACATGATATCTGAAATTTTTTGCATCTGAGACCTTTTGCATCATTTAATGGTAAAACATTTGCCCAAAACTTGGTTGTATACAATCATATATACCTGATAACAGTGGGCAGAAGACTGTGCAACAATAATTTTGACGTATCGCACGGTATATAACTATATAACACTGATAAGATAGGAGTGAGACCTTGTGGTCAGGGTTAATAGGGCCATTTTTAATTCTTTCATTTAGGTTTTATAACCATTATGATAAACTCTTATGAAGCTGAGACCACATCCTGATGCTGTTCAGCATTGTAAGAGATAGAAAAGAGACAGTAAGATAAGTGTGAATGAGTGAGCGTGTGTGAATGTGTGTAGATGTCTATGTGTGTGTGGGATAAAGTGTGCTACAAGGAAAGATTGGATCTGTACCATTAACTTTACAGGCCATTCATTGAGCACCAGAGCACCAGGGGTCAGGTGGGAGAATTCACTGTAAATCTCTACAACGATCACAATGACAGACCAGGGAGCTGAGGGAGAGAGATGGGGTGGGCTGTTAGGAAAAGCACAACTTGCAACATTGCTCCTAACTCTGTCCAAAGTCATTTTAAGTTCTTCTAATGTCATCTTTCCCTGCCAATTGGCCAGCTGCGCTCTGATCTTTATGTTTACAAACAAAGGCATTGTAATCAGTCACAGAATAAATGATAAGGATATTAATTTGCTCATAGGACAGCTTCCTTGTATTCCTGTCACAAGTAATGTTGATTCTAGATGTTGGCTATCTTGCTTCACTGGCCCGCAACCCAAACATGACCTTCCAAGATAGCCAGAGAAGTTCATTGGAGGACACTGAGCGCCGTGAGGAAAAAAACATGTGTCAAGCAGAGGACATGAAGTGAGAACAGAGAAAAGTCACAGTGAAAAAACATTGGCTCTGCGGCACAACAGGTCCTTGGCTTGGTCACACCTCAGATCTCATCGCCTTTAACTGTCAAACCCCTGGAGAACAGAGGAAGTATTGTTGTGAACTCAACTACCCCCCCCCCTCTCTCTATGCAGTCCTTCTCTTTCTTGTACACATCACATAAAATTGCAACAAATCTTTCCACTGTAGGTCATTGGAAATACATTCCCATTGAACATGACAGCTACAGTTATCCATGTATAGGATAGTACATTACCTGGAGACCATCAACCATACTCGACCCTATCACAGCAGAAAATCCACATCACTCTCATTCTCTAATTCCCTCTAAGTTACAGTACGGTCAAAATGAAACTTGAATCAGCACTGTTACTAATTAAACTCTGTAGAACAAACAATTCACCATTCAAACTTTGAGGAGAGTGAGTATAACTCAGGCTTGGGCTTAACCACTCATAGATTTTCACTTCAACATTAATCACTTGCTTCATAACCCTAACACTGGTCATCTCAATACAAGAAACCAAAAATTAATAAACTTCATTGTTTTTTTGTAAGGTATTAAAGGAAACTATGGGTGGGCATATCGATCCAAGTATCAATAGTACAGAGACAATGCTGAGTATTGGGTTGAATGCATGTGCACTGCAACTATGTCGAAGTGGTTGCTCAGAAAAAACTCAAACTAACATCTACATGAGCATTTCCCCCAAAACGACTCTGCGTTCATTGGTTTAACTTCAAATTTTTCTTCTCCGTAAACCATATGTCCACACGAAGCCAAGGTAAATACAATTTGTCAGACTGGTCCAGTTGTTAGACACACAGTTCTTACTGTAGATAAAGGTTACATAGGGCACTAACTGGCTTACAGCTACGCTGAGCTGTGTGTTCTGAGTCCTTTCTAATGGTAACTATTACAAAGTAACATTATCCTTATGTACAGGTTGATTTTCATTTTGCTATTGATTAATGGGCTATGAATAGATGAGTTTTTTACATTTATTAGAAATATAGTAATAGGTGGTGTTTAGTATTAATGTGTGTGTGTGTGTTGTGAGAATCAAACTGGTGTTGTTTAGAACATATAAAACCTCAAAAATTGCATGGAAGCTTCAGCAAGAGCAAAAGTGTGGATTTTTTAAATGCATCTGTTCTGCATCAGACGTCACGCAGCACAGGCCGTTTGTGTTGACACACATAGTTGCTGTCCGAAAGTTTGGAAACTGCAGGCCGTATTGCTCAGCAGATAACTCGCTGTTGAGAAGGTGTTTTAACAAAATAAACAACTATCTTATCCTGAAGTGGTGCTTGGGAAAAAACACTCACTGAAACAAGTTTGAAATGCTTGAGGTCTGTTATTTTTGGTGGGGAAAAGTATGTTAGCCCAGAAGCCGAATCCCAGTTGCTTGTAGGTCTGCTCACCTACGAGGTGTTTCTATGGATCCAAACTTTTGTGTATTTTTTGGTCCCACTTTGTGCATATACAGCTGTTATAAATGTAGTGGCACATAAGCTCTGCCTAGTTAGATGATTGCATGCTGAACTACTCACCAGGCTGGAAAAATCCTGTGTAATTCATGATTTTCTTCATTTGAGTAATAAACAAACAAGCTACTTAAAGTGATGTAACACAGTGGCAAACTAAGGAAAATGTATGATAAACAAAATAAATATTTTGCATTTTATTTTTACTGTCACTATGTAGCTCATCAGTCGGATAAAACCACATAGGCCTACCGTCCTTCCTCTCGTGTATCAGAAACAAGTGAGGGCCTGTGAACCCATTTCCAGTTCAGCAAGGACTGTCAATATTCCAAAGACTTATGGTCGTGGAGATGTTCTATCCACTTACAGATTGTGCAGTTCCTTAGGCTTTCTCATTTCCCTACTTCCAGTGTTTCAGCTTCAGAAAGTGACTTGGTGCTTAATGTATATTTCTTCCCCTTGAAAGGTGATATTGTAACAAGATAATCAATGTTAATCAATTCACCTGTCATGTGTACATTTCAGTGTTACAGAGAGCAGGGTTGTGCTGTATTTGTAAGCCTCATTTCATGCACCAGAATTCATTAGCATAGACTTTTTGCCTCTAATGCACCCTGCATTTTGCTTATACAATCAGATATTGCCAATCATGGTAATGGCTGTAGCCTGGTAAACTGGACAGTCCAATCATCACCCTTGCCTGAGAGGGCCTTTTTTTTCCATACTTGACATTTGATATGTGATTGCTGCCTCCACTCACTTTTGTTTTGATTAACAGAAAACCTCCCACACTGTTTCAGGGAGGTTGTTTAGAGTGTAACTTTGATAGCAGCTGTTATTGTTTCTCTCTTCCTCAATCCCTGGGCTGTCCCTTGATTTAATGATCTTTGGTTTGGCTTCAGAGTTCAAAGAACTCTAGGTCACTTGTGGTGTGGGTGTTAGAGGAATATTTTCTGACCGGCAGATTATTTTCAGTCTCAAAATAATGATTGCCTATGTATTTGCAGAAAAAAATAATTATATATATATATATAGAACAGAAGGAGCCCAAGAGACAGGACACCAGGCTTGTGGTTCACCTCAGCCTTTAACAGTGGCACTATTTTGAACCTGGGAATATAAGAGGGATTGCAGTCAGAGGTCAACTTCAGTTACCAGGCTAAGACATTAATTACTCATAGGGGTAACTCAAGAGAGCAGATTAGACTGTAATTGGTGGGTTGGCCTGTAAAGTGCATGAATCACTGAACACCTCCACTGACCAATGCATCAGTGACTGATTATAAGGACTGAGATCTTCAGCTTCAACCACACCACAAATAACCTGCTGCTTATAGAGATGCGTGCTATTTGTTTTGACCTCATGTCAAGGTAATTATGCACCTTCCATGGGTGTATAGTGGAAGTATGGGAGCTTTGCGGCTGTAAAATAGAGACAGGAGCAGTAAAAGAGAGGAGGGGGTTGGGTACATACAAATGCTTTAGGTTTGCATGTAGTGACCTCGACTTGGCCCAGATAGATTGTTCATATAGAGCTTGATGTTATTACTCTATCACTGAGATGACAGAGGATCCCATTTTCTGCATGTAGGATAGACCTTTTAAAACAGGGGATTTTAAGGGTTTTTGCAGACTTGGCAGATGACAAAATCTGTCTAACATTTTTTAAATGAGATCCTTCTAAAGCTTACTACACACTATGAGTCTGTGAATGTTTATAACTGAGTTGGCAAAACTGGAAATGCCACTGAAGTTTCGTAATACGGCAGAAAATCTGAGTCTAATTTCCCACGTTGCACAATGCAGCACAGATCACCCGCTGACATCCCAGAATAGGGTCACACTAGATGAGAAGATTTCCCTTTGTTTTTCTCTGCCAAACACACTCACAGACTATGACCCTGTGCTTAACAAAAAACACAAATGTGCTCGAAATTACTGGCAGGACTTGCAAACATTCCTTTCTTCATTTGCCACGGAGTTTCCCAGTTTAGAAAAACCTCAGCCCAGGCCCATCCTAAAACAGGAGGGGATGGGCCACTACTAAAAGCAACCTCAAGACTTCAGAATCTGTCAGTCTGTAAACTGATGAGTTAAAGAAACCAGACAACACAGTTTTTAGTTTAGTAACAAGTTTTTAGATCCATCTTGAGTCTGTGCCAATTTCTGAGTCATATTTCAACAATACAACAGCGTGTCTGCTGCCTCTATCGTCATTTTGTTTCTTCAAATCCACTGGATCTATCTTGTATCACGCTGCATCAGCTGACTGAATGACCAGCATGTCAGAAGAGGTGAAGCTGGAATGTGTCTCGCTTAGTCCTGTGAGCATGGCAACCGACCCTGAGCAGGGGCCGCTTTGCATTTTTGGGACGGGGGACTTGGGGCGCTCTTTGGGGCAACGCTTGCTCCAGGCAGGATACAAGGTGGTTTACGGCAGTCGTAGACCTCACAGCTGCGGGCCCTTACCTGCTGGAACTCAGGTACTTTATGAAATATATTGCTAGAATTGGAAAAAATTGTTTTCTGATGACTATATTGTTCCATCTGCTCTTAACAGCCCATATTTTTCAAGGAATTTCCCACGCTGACTCAGAAATTAGTGTTGGTAAGACTGAAAGTGGATAGTTTGTGTGTGTGTGTGTGCGTGTGTATGAAAAGAAACCATTGGTTTATCTTCACACCAAGGTCACTGATTAAATCAGCTCCTGTGTGTTACATTCTGCAGTGTCTGGATTGGATCTTTCACCCAACGTCTGAACTGCTGTCTCTGAGTCAGTGTGTGGTTTATGGTCTGCCATAATTTACACCTGTGCATGACAAAAGTGTTTTGTTTGTGTGTGTTGTGCAGGCAATGAGCCATGAGGCAGCAGCCAAGTCAGCCAATCTGGTCTTTATTTGTGTACACAGAGAACACTATGACTTTCTGGAGAGACTTGCGCCTCAACTCGTGGGGAAGGTACTTTGCCGCACAGTCAGATGTCTTTGTGCTCTTCATATTATGTTAATTTCTAACTTCCATCTCACTGATTTCATTAACTGAAAGGTGCTGGTAGATGTCAGCAACAATCTTAAGAAGAATATATACCCAGAGGCCAACGCAGAGTTTCTGCAGAGGTAAAGAGAACTTAGGCAGAAATGTCATGATATACAATAATTGTGAGATGTATTAGAACACATGGTTAGAGTATTCAGTAACTGTGAGAATGAATCAAAAGTTTGTTGTTTGCTATCCAGGCTAGTCCCTGGAGCTCATGTGGTGAAGGCCTTTAATACCTTGTCTGCCTGGGCCCTTCAGAATGGACCCTCGGATGCCAACAGACAGGTACTGAGCATGTCTGTTTGGGGTGCTGAAATGTCTTTCCTTTGAGAATATGCCAAAGCTTTAAAGTTTCTACTTTTGCTCTCTAAAAAGTCAGTATTTTCAGCTACTGCTATAATACATGTTTTGAGCAATTAATTCGTCAGATGATTATTCCGCCATGGAAAATGTAGCCATTTCAACAATCCTCTGATGCGTGCACATAGTTGGTGCTGCCCAACAAATTAGAAATAAACTCTTTAGAGAAAAGCATATGTGTCCAAATTGTATTCATTAATTCATTTTTGAAGTTTTCATCAAACAGAATCAAAGTTAAAAAAGCCAAATTTGAGGAGTCAGCCTAATGTTCTTGTTGCGAAGGCCATCTCTGATGTATCTTTAAATCAATTAACTCCACAGTCTGTCTTAGATCTAAGCCTCTCAAGACATGTTTTGCTTCCTCCCTCTGTTGTACAAAGCTGCACATGTGGGTTTCTCTGTTTTGTTTTGATCAGGTTATGCAGTCCCCGAGGAGAGGGAAAAAAATACACAGAAGTTGGCATGTTTATGCATTGGGGTGTACCGTAGCTGAACACTATCAGCAACATCATAACAGAGTTGACTGAACATTGTTGTTGGTTTATACCTGCTTTCTTTAACTGAATTTAGTATTTCAAACGGGAAGCCACAGTTTGTTCTTTAATGTTCAGTTGTCTAGAGTCAAACACATCGCTTCATCATTGTGCGTGCACATGCATAAATGCATGAATATTATGTTGAAAAAGACATACAGCGCATTCTCTAAATTCTAGAGAAGTAATAAGGGATGCTTTCATGCTCCAGGTGTACCTGTGTGGCAACAGTGTTGTGGCTAAGCAGGCCGTGGAAGAGACAGCTACCAAACTGGGCTTCACAGTTCTGGATAGAGGGTCTCTGTCTGCAGCCAGAGAACTGGAGGACTTCCCCCTGCAGCTGTTCCCAGAATGGAGGCTTCCCATTCGCCTGGCCGTTGGCCTGACCGCAGCCTTCTTCTTCTATCTGGTCATCAGAGATATCATCTTTTCCTATGTCGAACAGGGGAAAGACATCTCCTTCAGAATCATGGTGTCCCTGGCAAACAAGGTGAAGACAAATCATGATCTTGAAACTTGTTTTCAGTCCTCTGTGGAACAGGCGCACACACATGTTCCGCAGACAGTAACACTCATGGTGATTGTGTGTTTTCTTATTCCAATTCCAGGTGTTTCCCATTGTTTCTCTTATTTTGCTGTCTTTGTGTTATCTGCCTGGAGTGATTGCTGCCTTCCTTCAGCTCTATAGAGGAACTAAATACAAGTATGAAACTGATGTGGACTGATGTTCCTTGTCAACATAGATGTTTACAATATCCAAATCATTTCAAATCCTTTTGCCTCAGGCGTTTCCCTGACTGGTTGGATCGTTGGATGCTGTGCAGGAAACAGCTGGGTCTGCTGGCTCTTGCCTTAGCTTCCCTGCATGTGCTGTACACTCTTATCATTCCTATAAGGTGGGTACAACCTTGATAACCATTTATCTGTTTTACCCGTAATAGTAAACCCTTTTAATAACACCTCACTTAGCCTGGAACAACCCAAATTGAATTATAGGGTTTATTTGTAAAAGTTAATGCTAATCCCCCTGAAGTTTGTGTGTTTTGATACCTCAGGGTCTGTTGAATTCATACATAAGAAAAGAATAACAATGATTTTTCGATCCGTCTACAACACATCAGGTTGTAGACAGTTGTGACGTCACTTTGACTTTTTGTCTGTAATGAAAATGCAGCCAGATGAAATTTTCTTAAAAAATGAATATTTGTTTTCAAATTCTCCGTTCCCATCAGAAAGTTTTTGAGACAGCTTGGTCGAATTTACAAAAGAATGTGTGTTTAGTTTTTTCCCTCCTGGGTTGCTGTGTAGGACCATCGGAACAGCGGTGGTGCGTGTATATTGATAACCAATCTCCTAAAATGTATTGCATTTTTCTTGACTTTAAATGAGCTAACATAGGAAACTCTTACTGTTCTCTTACAAAATCACAAATTCTGAGTTTTGAGGAGCCTCCCACATTTTTAAGCTGTAGATAGCTGTTGTTGTAGATAGTGAACAAAGCCAAAAATGGTTGGGCTCATGTCTGTTGGGAGCACAACAATTGAGAAGATGATAACTTGATCACTTAATTTTACGGGCTGCACCAGATGAAAAATGAATAAATGAATAATAACTTAACAGAGGCTTGTGCTGTGGTAGATATATTCATATTCAAAGTAGGGATGTTAAAGAGTTGGTGTTTTTTCGTCTAAACTGACAGACAGTTTAAAACTTGAATAAATGCATATCATTTTCCTTTTTACATTTGTGTTCACAGGTATTATGTGAGATTCAGGATTGCAGCTCACACAATCTCACAGGTAACATTGTTGGGAAACATTCTTTAGTCTTGTCCAAACAATGAATAAAAATCTCACTATCTTGTCCTTTTTTATTTAAGATCAAGGAGAACAAAACATCAGAGTTTGACACAACCATGGCCTGGCGCACTGACTCGTACTACTCTATGGGGATTTTAGGATATGGCCTGTATGTCCTGTTGGGACTAAGCTCTCTCCCTTCTGTCAGCAACAGTCTCAGCTGGAGAGAGTTCAGCTTCATTCAGGTGGATACTTATACTTACCTGTCTATGTAAGATAATACTGTTTATCTCGAGTGTGAACCTAAGTGTCTTCACATACTGATACCCACCAATTCAGAATACATTCCTACCTGATACAGCTCCTCCATAATTTACTCAACTGCGGGATCATTTACATAAAAAAACAGATAAAACAGATTTAATCTCAAGAGGCGGAATGAGTGTTTGCGCTGTAGTGTCTGAGGAACAGACTTTCTCCTGTGCACACAACAATGTCTGCGTTTGCGGGAATTTTAAAATGGTAGACTGTGCAATTTTACATCATTTCGATATTAAATATGCAATTAGATTGCATTGTTTATAAAACAGCTTTAGCATTTACTTTCAAAGGCTGGTTATGAACATGCAGTCTTGCATCTGCTTGTGTTTCCTGGTGGTATTTCACAATGGCGCCACAAAATTTCAGCCTTTCAGTTAACGTGGAAATGTACAGAGAGAGTTCGGGTTATTTAGAGTAATGTGAATGTTGGCAGAAAAACTGCCACACGTCAAATCAACGTGTAAAAAAACAGGATTCAAGCTGTGACTGGACAGCTTTCGCACAGATGTGCTGTTAAACAAATGTAGCTAACATTTTACCTCGCTATCTCATCTGTTATTGTTTGGTTTCCCCAAAAATCAGATGTTTACCTTTTCCAGATGTTGAGTAGTCAGAAATTATGTTGGCAACACTGCAGGGAGCAAACTCATTCATAAATGTATCTGGGTCATGTCAAACTAATTTCCTTGCTCCACCCCTCCCCTTAACTGTAGCCCAAATTAGAGCGGCTTTTTAAATGTTAAGTTATTCATCAAATGTAATTTGGGGGCATACATTATGCTGGGCCAAAAGTCTCATGATTTTCTTTGTGCACACACAGTGTGTGTACTGTATGTGTGCGCAGATTCCTCAGAGACAGGGGTTAGATTACTGCCATAAATATCTGTGTGCAGAAATATCTGTCCAAAGTTTATGCATTTGGTCCAAAACTTTTCCCAGGAAGGTCAGTCTGTTTTTGGAATTCCTAACCTAGGTAAAGGAAAGCAGCAGAACTATTTTTTAAACCCTCATCTAGGAGCGATTAAAGACCATAATTCAAAATTAGTCCCATTTAGAGGGTCTGTAACACTGGTAATAAGTTATTTAAGAGCGTGAGCCTTACACTTTTCTTTTCCTCTCTTCCAGTCCAAGCTTGGATACTTGACACTGTTCTTCTGTACCTTTCATACTTACCTTTACGGTTGGGACAAATTCCTTCGCCTGTCCGCCTACAAATGGTACACCCCTCCCGCCTACATGCTCAGCCTGGTGGTGCCCTCTGTGGTCCTGGTGCTGAGGCTGCTGCTCTTTCTGCCTTGTATGGACAGAAGTCTCATCCGTATTCGACAAGGCTGGGAGAGGACTGACCCAGAGAACGACACCAAGAAATCCCTGCTAACGTAGAATGCCTTAATTACAGAGACAGATGCATCCGTAGGCACGGGGAAAAAACTAAACTAAGACACAGGCAAGGTAGATTTATACGGAGAGCAGACCACCATAAAGGAGACCACTACCTGAGGGTCTCAGAGTCCGAATTGGACCATATATAGGGACTTGTCTTGCAACAATATATATTATGTCATATGACTGTAACAACATTATTCCAAAACAAAGCAAAGTTAGCACTGACATCTATTAGCACATGTTAACATAAGTCATTGCAACTGGGAAACCTTTTAAGCAACTTCAGTGCACTCTCAATTGCAGTTTAACTACCAAGTTATATCCATGTATTGTTACATTGTTAAATGTTACTGAAAATTATAGAAATATCAGTGAAGTTGATTTTACTTTTATTTCCTATTTTTTTACTTCCTGTTAACCTTCAATTGTTACGCCATGTTTATTGATGTTAAAGGCTCATGTTTATTTGGATTTATGTTACTTATCTGACTTAGTCTGTTTTTCTTTAATTGTCATTTTAGATTAAGTTCGATTCTGTGAAAAGGTCACTGAATTTTAATAGAATCCACTGTACGATGAATGCATCTGAATCTAAATAAAATTCATTGTGACTATAAACTGCATTATTTCCCCCTGAAGCTTTGTCAGACAGGGAATATGTCCCTGTGTGATGCCTTTTCAGTTTTTCCTGCTAGCTGATCTAAACCGGCTGTTCTTTGGGAAGCATTCACATAAAGCTCAATCATACATTATCATTCAATCATACTTTTCCTTTATATCTTTTATTAAATATATTATTATAACCAAGAGGTAAACAGAGAAAAGTTGCAATGAAGGAACTTTTCTGATAATATATTCTGCATTATGCATTTACCCCCAAAAGAAGAGAGTTGATGGAAAGGATTTTCTCCCGAAGATTCTTTCTCTTTGGAGGGGACTTGTGTGGCAGCCCCCTCAAAAGCTTCAACTAAAAAGTGCTTTTTTCATTAATAATAAATAATCAGGTTTGTTTGTTTTTCTTTTTTGGCCTTCCACTTGTGTTATGTTTAAATATATTTTACATAAACATCTAAAATGTCTCCCCATTTTTAAACTGTAAGGCAAATTGTTCTCCCATAACCCCATTTATCAGAACAGCTAATGTGACCACATTAAGACAGAAAGAAATCAGAAATACACTTTGCCTCTAACAACAAGAGGCATTAAGGCCATGAATATTTCTTTTTCATTCATTTTAAATTCTTTACCGACCACTCTAGGAGTCTATCTTTTTCCTGCCATTCACTAAAGTTGTGGTACTTTGCCAGAAGCTTGTCCCTGGCAGACATGCTACAGAGAAGTGCTCTCTACTAGAAAACGACAGCCTTAATATCACTAATTAAAGGTTATTTTTTAAGGAATTTTTCAGAATATGAGATTGACCCCTTTTGGAGTATTAGGACATAAACATTTTCTTGCTTCATGTGAGCGCCTGTGCCTGAATTTGAAGATTTTGCAATAGCAATGCGACATGGATCCACTGACTGTTGACCAATCAAGTTCATGGGTTTTGGCCCTCAAGACAAAAAGGTGATAAAAAGAAGAAGAGAAAGCAACGACTCAGGGAAGTTCATGTGTAGAAAAACTGAAAAGAGGATATAGTAGGTACAAAACCCTCATCCCTTCATTGCGGTACACAAAATACTGAGGAGGATTCTGAGGGTAAGATTTTCACATGAAGTTGTAAATTGAAGTGTAAAAGTTTCCAATAATTTCATATTGTTTGCACCTGTATTGTCAGAGTCCAACACAATATTCTTTGTCCAGATTAATAGTTTTTTTTAACTTTTTTAGAGGAAGTGCTGAAATCAAATAAAGATATGGGATTTTTCTCTGTTTTTCTATTAGATGAAGTCATTGCTTGTCTTGGTGATGTTTGCAGCATGCGCTGCAATACCTCAAGGTATTTTTAGTTTTTTTACTCAACAGTGAATATGTTTGCTAAAGGATGAGTTTAAAAGCATGTTTCAAGTGACAACCATTCTGTACTTTTTCATTTTAAATCTATGACCTTTCTCTCTATGTTTCATTAATATTTCATATTATTTTTCCATGAATATTTCACTTTGATTTGACGTGTTTCTTATTAATTATTTTACACGCTCTTACTTCTCAAAACACTGTTGCTGCTTCTGCCTTTGTACCAGGAATCGTTCAAAACGATCAACCTTCACTGAATAGATAATATTATGCTGGTTTACACTGTTATTGCTCTAGAATAAGACATAAACAGTGTCTCTCTTGTATAAAGATTTCATTCGACGCATTAGCCACTTTTGTATCCTCTGTGTTTTCAAGTTCCTCTTAAATATTCTCTGCCCCAGTGGCCACACGATGAGCTTAGATATGTGTCTCTCTGTGCTTAATTCACCCAAATGTCTATAAAAGAAAGATCTGCATTGAACCTATGAAGTGCTAACATGATTACCAGAAGGCAACCAACCTTTAAGGGTGAAAACAAAGAAAAGTATTGAGCGAAACTATTTTTCTTTTGTCCAGATCTTTCTGGGAAAATGTTCACTTTTCCAGCTGAAACAAACACAGCACATGTAAAGCTGAACACCTTGGTGCAGGATTTTGGTGCCGTGACCGTCTGCCACAGGTAGAGTGAAGGTTTAAACTACACACAAGAGCTCTCTGTGTAGCTATTTTTTCAGAATACACTGTGTTGGGTTTAAGATATCTGTTGTTGTTTCAGATCCTTCACGGACCTTAGAAGAGACCACGCTCTGTTCTCCTTATCCACACCCATAAATCCCAATGACTTCCTGATTTTCTGGGACAACACAAACAAAGAGATAGAGCCACATGTCAGGGATAGAAAGGTGGAACTTAAGGGGCAAGACTACAAGCTGAACATGTGGCACTCTGTGTGCACCACCTGGGATTCTCAGACTGGATTGGTGCAGCTGTGGTTTGATGGCCAGCCTTCCATCAGGAAATTCATCAGTTCTGGATTAAAGATTGAAGGACCTTTTATGATTATCCTGGGGCAGGTAAAATTTTGCATGGTCCTTTAACAGATCATTTAGATGATTTATTTTAATTTTTGTAAGCCTTGCAAAATCAAGCAATTATTTAACATCTCAATTGTGTGCATTTCCTACAGGAGCAGGATGCCCATGGTGGAGGGTTTGATATGAAGCAGTGTTTCATTGGTATGATGTCTGACGTCCACATGTGGGATTATACCCTCTCCCACTGTGAGATCCAGAACTACGTGGATGAACTGAACTTCACTCCAGGAAATGTGCTTAACTGGAGAGCTTTGGAATATGAGATCTCTGGCAGGGTGCTGTTAGAGAATAAAGTAACAGTGTGTCATTGAAATTTCAAAACCCCATTATCAGATCCCAGAACATCTTAAAATTGTCTTATCTGTTTTTCAATGTTTTTAACCTCTGCATTTCTGTTAAATCATATGAAGGAGGGAGTTCTCATTGTCTATCCTCATTCAACAATGATAATCACAAGGTCTGATCTTTTGATGCAATTAAAAACAACCTAATTTTCATGTAACTTCTTTGTATGTATCTGTTACTGGAACTTTGGGGGGGGGGGGGTGTTCCAAATCCACCAAAAAGCATGATAAGGCATTTTTAAAGACTTTCACAAACTTAAACAAAAATACAGTGCCGACTTTCTATATTTTCCTAAAGTCCTAAATGTTGCAGTTTGCACCATATGTGAAAGTAAAGACAGAGGGAAGAAAAGAGAATCATTCCCCTTATCTATTTTTCTGCTGTCAGTGCTTGCACTGAAAAGTGTAGTAGTCACCGCATTATAATCAGCAGTAATAGAATCATTTCCATGGGGTTATAACTGTTTTAGAGTTGCTCTATGTTTCATAACTTTTCTCAGATCTTTTACTATAAATGAGAGCAGTCTCTTCATTATATGACAACTTATTTTATTCATAATTCTGATGAGAGACATATTTGTGATGCTAATCTTTTCAAGACAAAAAGAAAAACAGCTGCATAATTCATCATTTTTTTCCTTGATATATTATGTTTATAATTCACTTTTTATTAGACAATGACAAAGAAATTAAACCCATTGATGACTTTCAGCACAATTGCCATGATGACTCAGCAGCAATTTGGAAGAAATGATACTCCAAGTAAACAAGTCCAAAGGACAAGGCAAAAGGGAAGAATTAAGAAATCCCACCCTGTAAATTATTAGTCACTGGCTTCCAGTGAAGTCAGTTGAACTACTACTCTTATACGTTCGTATGTTGGTTCAAATGTTCCCATAAAAATACACTGTGATTCGTATAATTCCACTGCCCAAAAACCTATGGTAACTCCTTAACAATACTGCAGATGATATCACATAGCAATAAAACAAATGCATCATATAAGAGAGATATAAAAATAAATACTTTATAAAGAAATAATCAATTTTTTATTTATTTTTTATTGGCACCTTACCTTAGAGACTGAGGAACGGATGTGTAGCCATAGTTTAGCGATGCAGGAGACAGAGACGGTCGGTCTCTTTATTTTAAATTGATTTGTATTTTTTTCTATGACTTTGACGTCATACATATGTTGGAAATGTACTACTGGTGTCGAGTCGAATATTTGATCGAATTTCACTTCGTATGTTAGAAAATTTGTATGTTTATGGAGTCATAAGTAGAGGTTCTACTGTTGTTAGGTTTGTAAAGCGTTAGTGTAGATAAGGTTAATATTTCTGAATTGATCAAACATGAGAATCTGTTATCCATTGTATACTGCATCAAATATAACAAACAAAATGTCAAAGTACATAATAAAATACATTGTTTTGTCCTTTATCATTTCCTGGGCATGGACATTTGGGTCACACTGAGAGCCTATAAAGTGTTCCCAATTCCTCCCACACCCCCAGTGTAAAAATCCCTTTCACACACTCTGGCTAACAGTATCTGGACGAAACATTCAAGGTAAGGGATTTTATGAATAACAGTAATTCACAAATTGCCATCATTTGTATTGTTATTTCCAGTTTTTAATTTAGCAGAATAGTACGAGTCAAAGTACATTTATTTGTAGTGTTATGTGCAATGAAAATAATGAAAATATTTTAAATGTGTTTAATATATGTGCATTTGTCTCTATATCAGATGGAGCCGTTGATTCTCCTGGCAATGCTGACATTATGTGCAGCTACTCCTCTAGGTAAATCCTGAATTTTAACATGTATAAAAATGCAAAAGTATCTTAAATGAGATAGGTAAATCACAAGCTTGGTCCGTGACCACTCATCTTCCATGTTGACTTAACCTCAATAACCAGCCAAGATAAGAAATGAACTTCAAAGACTTAAAGCAGGTCAAAGTCATGAAGGCATGACCACATTGTGCTGATAACTTTGTTGTGTTTGATCACTTATGGATGATCACATTTAGGCCAAGATCTGATGAAACTTTGTAGAAAGTCTGCTGGATGTCCTTTTCAAAGATAAACTATGTAACTGTACCTTTCTTCTTCTTTTATTTATAATTTTTTCCCAAAGATCTTTCAGATAAAATGTTCACATTTCCACAAGAAACCAGCACAGCTAATGTGAGGCTCATCCCATCAAGACAAAATCTAAGCGCTGTGACTGTCTGTTTCAGGTAATACTGAATATGCCAAACTATTTTTAAAAGTTCAACAACAA